TTTTTATTCATAATTATAAAAGTGCACAAAAGTTAAGTCTTGTTATAAAAAGAATAAAAAATGAGTCAAAAGTGGTATAAAAGTGCAAATGGAATGCAACGGAATAAAACTTTGAAGAAAATAAATTTTTCAGAATACTTGAGCTCAAATTCGTCCGTTGCTCCAGAAGGGAAAAATGTTCAGCATAAAATAAGAAACTTGTCGCAGAAATTTGGAGTCAAAATTCAAACTTTTTCTAGGGCTACCTCTGGGGCAGACGCCTCGGACCCAGCCCCGGCATTCAAATCTAATTTATAACAGCCGGCATCCACTTTTGAAGTGATATTCGGATATTCCTTCTAGGGCTACCTCCAGGGCGGGCGCCCCAGACCCAGCCCTAGAGAAAAACGTCACCCCAAGCGTCATTTTGTCAGTTTTGGCGAAACCGCGGGCGTGCTCGGGCGACCTGCCGGGCAGCCGCCCGGGACCCCGCCCCATCAATTCTCATGCCTATTAAATATTAAATAATTTTCTAAAACTAAAACCTAAACATACCCGTAAAAGGAATCCCCCTCCCCTTACTTTATATATGCACGCACGCACACGAAACAGAAAAAGAAAAAAATAGGTGAGAGAGAGAGAGCCGATAGAAAGAGGAAAGAACAGCACACATCACCAGAAGAGAAAGAGAATGAGACAAGGCCGCTGTGTGTTCGCCAAAAACAACATCGTCACCGTGACGAGCCAGCAACATTGATCAACGTTGTTTCCTTTCGTGATCTTTCTTTATTGATTCATTTAATTTGTCTTCAAGTAATCGAGGTGAGTACGTGGACATCTAATGCTAGAGTATATAAATTGATTTGAAATTCAGGTTCGTAGTTTCGTATGATTGATTACGTATTTTAATTTTTTGTAATTGAATTTTGATTTATTAATATTATATGACATTGTTGGAATTGGTTCAACGAGGATGACCAAGTACGTTTTCTCACTTCAATTTGGTGTGATTTGCATGATTATAATCTTTAAAATATTAAACGTATTGAATGATTTGGAATAAGATTGCATTATGTTGTATCTCTAACTTTTCGAACGACAGCTAGGTATCAACTCATGGTACCCTGCTACCACTGGAGACCATCATAAACCTTTGTCACTCTTGCTACCTGCGCCCGGACGGTAGGGAAATACCGGAAAGACGATACCATAGTACTGAGGTACAGTACCAGACCCAGTTACCGCCACAAGCTAGTTTCTCGGTCGGTCGGGGTACCAGATCGTGGTACCTTGGTACCGCCCGATGGTACCAAGGTATCGCGATAGGTACCTTGTCACACCCTCAGCCGCCTGTTTTTTCGTTTATTTGTTCTGATTTGAATCTCGTATTTATTTTATGATCTATATGTGTGTGTGTGTGTGTATATATATATATATATCGTATTGAGAACTTTCAAAATTGTATTTCATTATGCTAATATGCAATATAAATTGAGACTAATTGGAGTTTAAAGTTCGTCCAGTTTGACTAAAAAATGTCAAACTAGACAAATATATTGAGAGAGATGTAGTAATATTTTACTTCGTTCAATTATTCTGTGTGTGACCCTTTATGTATTCACAATGTTGACATTAATATTATTTCACAATTAATATTATAAACGATAAGTGGTAGCTAGCAATACAATATCGCTACCCAAGTTATAAGCATAACGTTCATTGCAACAATACCTCTAACGACACATTACATTTGTATCACTCTTATCCATATATGTCTAACATCTTGATTTAACACAATACTTGAGATGTGTCACATTGTTAGAGTTAAATCGTTGGTTTACTGATTCTGAAGGTGACTTGTGGGGATTCAAATAACATTAATATTACATATATTAATTTATCTAGGTATGACCACGTACTTCCTAAATCACATCAATCAGTGGGTCTGAAGACAATGCACTTCATCACAATGGAAGAGATAAGTTATTTCTAAGTCATTTATGCCTTTACATATGCTTAACTACATACCCAAAACAATAGTGTACGTCCACCAGTATTTCAAGTGACATTAATCATAAATCAGAGCATGTAGGTCAACATATTAAAGATCATAATGACCTCAAGTCCAAGGATAGTTATTCCAATGGTTGAATGAGAATATTACGTATAGATTGAAATATCACAATATCCATAGCTTATGAGTCGCATCTATCTTGTCTCATACGTATTAGTCATAGTATTTTGTGACATCCGTATTATCATAATATTCGACTAAAGACCATCTAGACATAGCCTCTACAAATGTAAAAGCCTCATAATCAGAATATCATAGTTTTAATATATGCTATCAGAGTGCTAAGTATATGGAAGTCATATTTTGATACACGAGATGTATAAACAATCTTTAAAACCTTTTGTTTTTGACAAGTATTCAGATACATAAACATAAATTGGCCTCTAGGGCCCGCACTTCCAACAATAATAATTAATAAATAATAAATAAAAATAATAATAATGCAATTAATAATAATATTTAATAGTAAATATAATATTAATAATAGTTATTGTTAAGTAATAATAAAAATAATAACCTTAAACAATAATTGTTCTTTTAAATATATTTATAATTAGTAACGTTAATAATAATCATAAATGATAACTCATAATTATAATAATTTATTATAATAATAAATTTAATTATTAAAATAATAAGGATACTAATAATAATATGGAAAAATTGATATAAATACTCCCGGAAATTTGAAATTTTACAATAATACTCCCAAATTTAATAAAAGACTCTGGTGCTCCCAATTAAACTATAAATTTACATTACTACTCCCACTATGCCTAATCAGCTTTTCTTATGCTTACATGTAAGTAATTATGCTTAGTTGACATCTTAGTTGTTTTTTTTGCTTTAATAAGATGAAAAAATTATATAAATACTCATAGAAATTCAAAATTTTATAATAATACTTCCAAAATCAAATAAAGACTCCAGTTCTCCCAAAAGTATATTTTCGTTGCATGTTACTATATTTGACTGAAATTATTTTTAAAGTATTTTATATGAAAAATGGTGTGAAATTAAAAAATAAAAATTACATAATAAAAAACTAATATAGTAATATGTAAAAAAAATTTTTTAGTAATATTAAAGATTAATTAATTGAGCTTAATTGGCATCTTAGTTATTTTTTATATTTTAATAAAAAATACCTCATGCGTCCAAAAATTATCTTCTCATTCACTATTAAGAGTATTAACAAGATCAAATTTTATTTACTTTGCTTACCTATTTTAATTATATATTTGATAAAAAAATATAATTATATCATTACTAGTTTTATAGATCTTATGGTGTAGTTTTTAGATATATAATTTTATTTTTTGATTTTACACCACTTTTATTTAACATCGTAACACGTAAAAGGAAGATATTTTTTAGAGTACTGGAATCTTTATTTAGTTTTGAGAGTATTATTGTAAAATTTTGAATTTCAGGGAGAATTTATATAATTTTTTCTCTTATTAAAACAAAAAAAAACAACTAAGATATCAACTAAGCATAATTACTTACATGTAAGCATAAGAAAAAGCTGATTAGGCATAGTGGGAGTAGTAATGTAAACTTATAGTTTAATTGGAGCACCAGAGTCTTTTATTAAATTTGGGAGTATTATTGTAAAATTTCAAATTTCTGGGAGTATTTATATCAATTTTTCCTAATAATATTACTTAATAATTACAATAATAGTTATTAATAATAAACGTTATTATTGTAAATGTTATTAATAATAATTGATAACAAATTATTATAATATTATTAGAAATATGATGATGACGATTACTATTCTAATGGTGTGAATTTGAATTAAATCTATTCAGATCAGTTCTATTCAGATCAGATTAGATCAGTTAGATCATATCAGATTTATTTAGATCAGATGACTTTTAAAAAATTATTACGGATCAGATCAAATCAGTCGAAGAGAATTGATCCTTAGAACACATTTCCTTCAACTTTATTTATTACTCCCTCCGTCCGGATTTTAAGTTCCCGTTTTGACTTTTCTTCATTTTTATGGAGAGTTGACTTTGTGTGTAAATTGTCCAAAACACCCCTGCCCTTCACAGACCATTTCACGTATCTCCGCCAACACCCATCCTCGCCCTTTGCTCCGATAATATTCGCAGTAGCCTTGCCGCCACCGTCAGCCTCCCCATCACCGTCAGCCTTGCCGCCACTGTCAGCCGCTCCGACTAAAGATTTTGACTAAAGAAGAAGAAGAAGAAGAAGAAGGTGGCCAAAGAAAGAGGAAGAAGAAGAGCAGATCTACGGATCGGAGGAGATTTTGACTAAAGAAGAAGAAAAAGAGGAAGAAGAAGAAGAAGAAGAAGAAGAAGAAGAAGAAGAAGAAGAAGAAGAAGAAGAAGGTGGCCAAAGAAAGAGGAAGAAGAAGAGCAGATCTACGGACCGGAAGAGATTTTGAGCAAAAGAAGAAGAAGAAGAAGACAGAGGAAGAGGAGGAGAAAGAGTTGGGGTCTTGGGGATCGAAGAGGAGGAGAATTAAAAGACGCAGATCCGACAGATCCGAGAAAGAAAGAAAGAGAAAGAGAAAAGGAAGAAGAAAGAAAGAGAGAAGGGTATTTTAGGAAGAATGAGAATGAAAACGTATAATGGGAACTTAAAATCCGGACGGAGAAAAGTGTAGAATGGGAACTTAAAATCTGGACGGAGGGAGTATTAATTACTTTCTACCTAGTTTTATTGGAATGAGTTTATGTCATACTAAACTTGATCAAATAAAAAATAATTTTAAATATAAATAAATCAGAAATTATCCAAGTTACTAGATCACAAACAAATTCTAGATACATTGATTCAATTAAGATATTTCCAAATCTGTATTTTATCCTTCTTCCATCGCATTTCCTTTCACTTCTCGTTTAGTTTTACCTCACTTTTCATCTCATTTCTGATAAATCAGAACCTTGATTATCAGCACCTAGATTAACCCTAGTCTCCTCAGCGACTCCGACATGCTTATTGTTATTCCATTCGTGGCCTTTGGCTCTGCAGCCTGCGTGACAGCGTGAGCCTGCGCTTAGTCTTCTTCTCTTCTCAGGCTCTGAGCTTTCCATTCTTCTTCTCTGGTACGCTCGAATTGGGTACAGATTTAGGGATGATAAAATGGTGTCCTTGGCTTCTTCTTCTCTGACTTTCTGGTTTATATGAGTTTCGTGTATGCTCTATTTTGAATATTGGCTGTTTCTTTTTTTTTCTTTTAAAACAATCTTGCAATTCCCTTTTCTCTTAGTTTTGTTTCGCTCATAATATGTGGGCTGAAAAAAGAATCTGTCTATGAACTTCAAGCGGCTAACCATATGGTATAAAAAAGTTCCGATGAACAGAGTTATGGATTTGAAGCAATGAATTTGAAGACCATTTGAAGTGACTAACCATTTGGTGTGAGGAAAGATCAGTCCACGTATTTTGAATTACTCAACTCGTTATAATAAGATATGTTCATGCTATCATTTAGAGTACACTGCTGCATTTTGTTTCTTGATCCTTTTTGTATCCGGCTAAATTTTGTGAGCTTTGATAACTTTTTTGATATCATGGTATGGTACCGTAAACAATACAATAAATGGACACAAGTAAAATACCCTGTACATTCCAAAAAGAAAAATAGACACAAGTTGGGGTGGCATGTGTACAATACAATAATTTAAACCCCAAAGCTAGAAATTTTATTGTTCAAAATTTTAACTATGGATTGTTCATTCACGCCAAACAAATATTTAAAAATAATAGAAAGTCTTGCATTAAATGAGCAATAGCCTATACTCTTAGAGTAGCTCATTTTGTTGGAATTAAACCTTCACTACCACCAATAGATATTTACTACAATTAGTGAATTATTGTGTTTGTTGAAATTTTGGCATATTCAGTAATACCTTAAGGAAAAGATTGAAGCATTTGATGGATGATTGCCTCACCTTTACGTATTAGGGTAAGTAAACAAAACAATGGATGAGATATTAGGGATTTACATGATCACAATTTAGAAAACAATTAATGTGCTAGAGGTAGATCGATAATGAAATAAATAAATTAGGAAGTCTGCCCAATGATCTTTATCTTTTGATTTTATGTGCCAGATTTTAACTTTTTTGGTGTTGTGGGAAAAAATGGTTTGAATCGCTGAAGTTTTCTTGAAAAAGTTTATAAACTTTCATATACAAAAACTAAATCCACGAGCAAGCCAGGTTTTTTTACTGTACTAGTTTATTTAACAACATGTTTATAAGCTTTTCTAAAAATTGCAGTTCACTCCATTCTTCACAAAACACCAAAACGGTGAAAATAAGGAACACTAAATAAAAAAAGTAGATAAAACTCATTGAGCAGATTTTCCAATTTCTTTCTTCTTTTTATTTTTAGTTTAAGTATGTTAATTGCTTTTTAAAATTTTGGATCATGTTTCTTATTCTCCCCCACCATTTTCTATACTTATTACGAAATGATCATCTAGCAAATGTCTTGATCTTTGCCTCTCAGTATAGTTGAATATGACAAAATCTCAACATGCACTCTAACTATAGTAAATGTCCATTGGCGTTAGTGATGATTTATTTTACAAGTTAGTGATGATTTAGTTTACAAAAAAATAGCTACTCAATGAGTCATGGAATGGATGCATGGTTTTCTTAGTGGAGTGGTTTGGCTTCAATGAAAGTTTTTTAGTTGAAAATTAGAGCACAAACAAAATATCCCAAGTTCGGGGTTTAAATGAAAGTATTGTACTTCCTTCAAGCTTCACCTCAGTTTGTGCTTGTTCTTTTGGTGGAATTGAATATTTTGGTTTGGCTTGAATGAAAGTTTTTTAGTTGAAAATTAGAGCACAAACAAAATATCCCAATTTTGGGGTTTCAATGATAGTATTGTACTATTGTACTTCCTTCACCTCAGTTTGTGCATGTTCTCTTTGGTTTGTCCTAATTATTGCACATGTTTTTATTCATTGGACCTTTTATTTGGTGATTCATAGTGTTTACATGTATACATCTTTGCCATAGTTTCACATTATTAATAACTACTCTCATGCAAAATGAGGGAGCAATAGATTTGTTGCAAATAGTGTGTTTGGATTGAGGGGAATGGGAGGAGTAATGGATGGAGGGTATTTATTTTTTGTCATGTTTGCTTTGAAAGTTAACTGGTGGGTAGAGAAACAAGGAGAGGAGTCACGCTATTTCCTTCAAAACTCATCCTTTCAAATTGGAGTCATTTGGAAGGAACAAAGATGATTGAAACTCATCCGTAATTGTGGTCAGAAATTTGATAAAAAAACTCATCACAAAGCATAACAGGTTTTGTTGCAACAAAGTGCTAGATTTTAAACAAAGAATCATTGAGTTTTTTTAACAAGAAAAGAAAAGGAGGCGGAAAGGTGTTAACAAGAAAAATAGAAGAAAGGAGGTGGAAGTGAGAAGGTTGTCGCTATGTGTCTCTAAAGAAGAAGAAGAAGAGACGATCCCTAGCTTCTGCAATGGAGTGCTGTGCCATTGAGGACGAAGAAGAAAACATAGCTCGCGATGCAGCGGTGTGTTGTTGAAGAAGGAAACCTAGCTTCTTATTTTGAGAGGAAGGCGTGGAAATATTCAATCCAAACAGGATATCATCCTCTCTCTTCCTTTCCTCTACAATACATTCCTTTCCCTTTATTAAATTTGCCCCTTCTATCCAAACATAGGCTCAAGGTTGTAGGGTGTTTAGGAAATTGAGTTGTAATAAATGCTTTGTTTTATAAAATGTGCTTATTATTTGACAGTTATGTGGTATTTATTTATTATTTTGGTTGAGTGCTTGGATCACTGTTTGTGTTTTAAGTGTTTAGAACTATAGTTGTTTACATGTCTTTTGTTCAAAATAAATGAATGAGCTTTTAAGATGGCACCTTGGTTAAAAACTCAACACATGGCTTCTTGTTTTTTAGTGCTCCCTCAAATACTTTACACTAGGCAAGTTGTACCTAAAATAGTCTCAAAAGAAATAAGCGGACACCTTAGTATGGTGCGTTTCTTGGTACATATGCAATTTTTGTTTGTTTGTAAGTGGCAGTTTTACATTTTATTGTATAGGCAATCAAAGTTGGAGTGATATGTCTATGTGAAATGTGAATTTTAATTTTTTATGCTATCTACCTGTATTGTTGCTGGACCCTCTTCATTTTTAGCATTGTTTTAGCATTTTAGTATATGCAGGCTGGCTGTGTTATTAAAACAAGATGGAAAATCCACCGAATGTTGAGCTGGAAGCTGCGAAGTTTTTACATAAGCTTATTCAGGAGTCAACTGACGAGCCTACAAAATTGGCCACAAAACTTTATGTGGTTGGTTCAAACTTCTCTTGTGTACTATACATTAGAAATTATTGCTATATGCTTGCAGTCATGATATCATTTATGGCCATATCAGATTCTACAACACATGAGATCAAGTGGGAAGGAAAATTCAATGCCATATCAAGTGATATCTAGGTAAATCAATGTTTGACTGCTTTACGTGAACTGTTATTTTTAGGTGCACTTTGTTAAGATTTTTGGGAAAAATTAAAATGTTTAGTAATTTAGCTTATTATGGCCACACTATATGTCACCATCTGCATATTAATATGCGGGAATATTTTCTTTAAATCTATTAGAGGGTGCTTATATGATACATGGTCCCCATACAATCCTTGATGATAGAGTCTTATAAAGTTTTCAGTGGATCTACTCCAACCTAATATAGGTGGTGATATAGTTTGTTGTGGTCAAGTATATACTTCATAATTCTTGTTATTTTTTTATTTCGTTTTGGAACTTGCAACATGTATTACTTCACCATCTCTCCTTTTTTAAGTTTCACTCAGAATAAATGTTACTCTAGTAGTTTAATTAAAGTCTATTTGTCTAGTAGGGCACATACATATTTCTGATTTAAGTAACTAAAAACATTACTTCACTTTAGCATTGTGTCATAAAAGTTGCACATTTTTTTGTGTAATTATTTTATATTGTTTTTCTGACGTGCATTTTTTTTTATGTTTTTTTATAAAATCAATTATGTATACAAGGGCTATGGAGACTGTTGTCAAACAAAACAATCTTGATATTGAAGCATTAATGACATCACGACTTCCTTCAAATACTGGAAATCAGGCAGAAGACTCCTCACCAACCCATGTGGCTGGTATAGATACTGAAATTTTAATGATATGATATCGCTGATATCATGGATAAGAAACTATTAGAAGTTCACATTTAGTGGAATGCAGAAGAGTTGTTTCCTTACAAGTGAAAACTGCAGGCTCTGGTTCTTCACAAAGGGCTGAAACCACTAGGGAATCTAAAGCTGTTTTATCACCAGATGTTTGTGGTTCTAGCAGGCCACCTTGCGGTCAAATTAGCAGTGGCCATGCAATTTATCAAGAATCATCATCCAATGTTACTGGTAATTAATATATTTCCTGATGAGTTTTATGCTATATTGCTTATAAAATTATGGCAAAGTAGCCCTATGTACAATAGTATTTTATATAGTTATTGCTGATGAGTGCAAGCTGCCCAATTACACAATTGTTTGTATTGGTAGATTGGTAGCCTAGTTGAATTACAATGGTGTTCCATTCTCACATGAGATTAGATCTTGTTTGCATAATTGAAGGATTTAGTGTTTTCATTGAAATGTGCTTCAAAATGTTAGTAAGTGAGAAGCAGAAGGAGATTCAGTGTTGTAAAATTGATCTTTATTGCATTTCTTTTTCTTTTTGTTTTATTATTTAATAGAGAGGGAGTAGGAGGTACAATTTCGGAGTAATTTAGGCTAAAAATCAGGCATCAAGTTTGAGAGACAACCTAATATCATGTTTTCATTATGACCAACCACTACATGGCTGTCATTTCTATTGGATTTGTAAAGCTCACTTACTTGAGATAGGTGGATCAACTTTTCTAAAGCCATAAGCTCTAGGAGTTATCTTATCCAAACATAGTAAAAGAATCCATCATTGTTTTGTCGTTCTAGTTAGGTTGAAAAAAAGTCTCTCTACACGAACAACATGAACTTTGTATAATCCCAACATTGTTGGGATTTGAGGTCAATAATGTACGCAACATAGTTTGACCACCATGACTCTGCACATTGACCACCATTGCAAATCATGAATTTCAAGGGCAAAATAAGGAGAGAAGATGGAGGCCAGACATAATGTGATCAAGGAAGAGAGAACTCTGAAAACATGAAGAAGTGGGGTTCCCACATTGAAAAGTAAAGAGAAAACCACTAGCATATTGCATATGTACAAGGGTGAAGCCCTACCCATAAGCTGAAGCTTTTGGGTTAATTGTGGTTCCCGATTTTGTATGTAAGTGGTTAAATTTACCCAATACTCCATCCATTATTCTCGGTCCATCAAAATTTTGACCTGGTATCGGAGTAGGTCCAATTCGGGTTCGATTGTTACTGGTTGTTTGGAGGTGGATTTAGGGATATGAGCTACCTGTTCATGGTTGGGGTCGAGTTGGCTATAAAAGATTGATGTGTTACTAGCTATAAAAAGATTGAGATGCTAGACACGCTTGGCCAAGGCTAACTAAATCAGGCTAGTTACCACTTTAGGGGTGTGTTGGAATTCCCACATTGAAAATTTCTACATTGAAAAATAAAGATAAATACCAGTAGCATATATAGAAGGGTGAAACCCTACCCATAAGCTTACACTTTTGGGTTCATTGTAGATCCCGACTTTATATGCAAGTGGTTAACTTCACTCGATACTCTACCCATTATTCTCTAGAATTTTAAGAGGGTGCAAGAGAGCATAGATGCAATAGGCCCGAATGAAGTAGATAGAAGACTTAGGGTGGGGTAGAGAACAAAGTTGTCAAACTTGTGAGTTGATTCGTAGAATCGTACGATTCAATAATTAGCCAAGGGATTGTGATTTACATCACGAACAAGATTAGAAATACCTGCGAATTGTAGAGATCGTAGCGCGACATTGGAACAACTTCAGCTCGCGCAATTTAATCATTAGCGATGGAAATGAGAAACACATGTTAAAGATGCACTGATCGCGCTATTGAATCACATACGACTCATTTTTTAAACGACTCATACATTTCATTGACCCTGTTTGCAACTTTTTTGCTTTACTACAATCCTACTCTTTTATTCCATTATATATACGGTGTATTATTTATGTATTTTTTTATCTTTCAGTCTAATTGTCATATTAATCCCCAATTTAGATGTCTAAAAATTGAATTTTTAGTGTGAGACAATAAAAAGTTATGTTTTCTTTCATTAAACGTATGTGTTCTAGTGTCGGTGTTTTAGCAAGGGGGCAGTTGGGGGAGGGGGGCAAGAGCCACTTTAAGGCCCAACAGAGCGTCACAAGTGCCCAATGTCAACTCATGACATTGGTTCCCAATCTAAAGGGAACCCTCGTGTATGTGTGTGCGTGTTTGTATATACGCATGTATGTGCACACACACACCCACACATATATATATGTACGTATATATGTGTGTGTGTGTACGTATATATGTAAGGAGTGGGGGTAGGCATAGTCAATTTTGTATATGTAAGGGGGTAGGGGTGCTAGGGTGGGGTTGAAAATGCTGGGGGGGGGGAGGGAGGGAGGAACCGTCAATTTTATGATCGGAGCACTGTTGGTGTCCCAATAGAACTGGTGTCACGATCTCACACCACTTCAACTGGTGTGAGATTATAGTTTATATTTTATATATACAACAACAACCTCTCTGTGTGTGTGTGTGTATATATATATATACGCACACAGAGTATATATGTATGTATATATTTGAACCAAATATAAACTATATTAATCATCCAACAATATGAGTTTACAACCAAGACAATGAAAGAACCCCATGAACAACTAAATTAATAGACAACCACCCTAGCTAGCCTTCCAAACTTATAAAAGTACTAACATGGAATTTAATGGGTGAAATTATTTGCTGTTGGTTCACCCCTTGATCTCCATGGACTTAGCAATTTTTAGCCTTCCAAATATAATAGCAATATGCTGCATAGGTAGGCAGGTAGCCATCATTGAGGGTTTCCACTTGGTAAATATGACTTTCACATCTAAATTATTAGCCATTTATGGAACAGGGAAGAATGATATAGGATGGCGCAAAGAGGAATACATGAAGATATATGATGGAGGGAGTATTTCATTTCCCTTTTAACAGAATTGGGTGGCTCATGTTTTCCCATTTGTTTCTACTTTAAATCTCAACCACTTATTTTCTTAAAGTTTGTGTCAAGTCGTTGCATCATACTCCCATTGTCCCACAATGATTTACACAATTCGAATGAGGTGCAAAATCTTGTAACTTTATTGATGTTATTTACAAATTCGTATAGAATTAAAAATACAACTTACATATTTAAAACTACATCAAAAGTTCTACAAAACAAGAGACAAGAATATTTTATTTTATCAAATAATCAATAAAACATGCAAACAAACAAAGTTACGAGAGACCGTAATAGTAACAGTGTAAATAATGTTGGGACGAAGGGAGTACTAGAGTATAAAATGAGGATGGAGAAAACATTTTTCCCTTGCTTGTGATTGTTGTATGATGAATGTTTTTTAACCAAGTGTGTTAGGAAGTCTTTGTTATTTGTTTAAATATGAACATTACATTATAGCAAGTGGTAGTCTAAAAGCTAATAAAAGGATCATAAAATAAATCATTAATCAATCCAGTCTACTCAGGAATGTTTAGATTTAGCGATTTCCTGATTAAAATAGATCTAAAATGAATATAGTTTATTTGAGTTTTGCCATATGGACACTTTCTCCTTTCATCCTTTTATGTCTGTAACTCACTCATTACATTTCACGAACAGATTCTCTGCAATTTTTTCTAGAGAAAAAAAGATGATATTATTGTTTTTTGGGTAGAGGGTATTTGGTATAGAAGTATTTTTTTAGCTCTAAATATAGATTAACAGTCTTAAAAATCCAACTTATATCTTCATTTTATATAACATTTTATCTTCATTTTGTAGGTTTGGGTGGGGGTGCATAAATTGTTATGGGATAGTAGGTTGGAGCAGCCTCTCTAACCTTTCTAGGTAGGGGTAAGGTCTGCATGCACCCACCCCAAACCCTACTTGTTGGGATTGTACTGGGTTGGTTGTTGTTGTTGTTTGGATAATAAGTTGCATTATAATATTCTTTTCTCCGTAATGTAACTTATGTAATATACACTTTGGGAGTAGAAAGAATAAATACTTCGTGCAGCACGAAGATTGTGCTTTGTCCTTTATTTTCAGTTTTCAATGTTTTCCTGGCCAATTAGACTCAATTAAGTTTTTGCTTAAGTTTATGTTCATTTTTGAATGAGATTATGTTTTCAGAAACAACATAAAACAATGCTAGTGTGCTACTAGGCTCAAAAATCATTAGTTTAAATTGTAAACAATTTTATCTAAGAATGATTCGCAGAATCAGATTTCGGCAATATATTGGCTCTTATGAAGCAACGATGAACAACTTCTTTCAATCTTTTGTGATAGAGGGAATTTTATCCATAACTAGCTCTAAAGCTATGACAACTCTCATCATTGTTTAGTTTGAGACTTTGTGTGTTGCAGTCTTTAGTGAAAAAAGGTGTGTCGATTTAGCATTTGTATGCAGGGTGAATCTGTATATGTGTAACATAGCTTCTGGTCTTCTATACTTTGTAGCTGTGAACACGCATGGAGTGGTGCCCAATGCACCTATATTATCGCATTCTCTAGAGTCTGGAATTTCAAGCCCATTGGAATTTGGTAGTCCTTCATATGATAACCATGGGCTGGTGGCAAAGATGCATCAGGATAGAAGCTCTGAATCATTTCCTGCACCCCCTTCTGCTGGTAGATGTGCACCTGGAAGGCCATTAGAGCATGAAGTAGGAGCAAGTATTTTTGCGAATGTGAACAATACCAATCAGGTATTTCATAGTTTTTGTATACATGCTTGTAAATTTTTAATGAAGTTAAATTTATAATCCTCTTTACTGTCATTATATTTTTAAGCAAGCCTTAAGTTTCTGGACAAAGATAGATTACTGTGTTTGCTGTTTCGTTTGCTCTATAATGCAAGCTATCTGTGTTAGCATTCACTAGCTATGCCACTAGGAGATGTCTTCGTGATACATGTTGTGCTCAATTAAAGGTTAAGAAGGGACAGTTATGTTCTTATTGATGATTCATGTGAAATTGTTGCTCCATGCTCAGAAAAATTCATAAGGAAACTCTCATATGTTTCATTTTTTATTTGGAAGGGACTTCAATTTTTTTTGTTCTATTTGAAGTGAAAGCTGCCATTTCGTACTAAATCATTTCCAATGCTTTCTTATTTCCTTCATATCTGTGTTAAATGGGAGGAGTGCAGAGCAATCCTTTGGAAACAAACATGCTCAGAAGTGCGGCTATCAGAGACACAGGAAAGTCACTGGTTGCAAACCCATTTAAAGAGCATCACTTAAAACAGCTTAGAGCACAGTGTCTTGTGTTTTTGGCTTTCAGGTGATGGTATTCACTTATAATTTCAGGCATCACTTACAGAAATTCCGTGTCCCAGCTCTTATATATTCCACTGCCTTTCATAATTGCAGAAATGGTATGATGCCAAAGAAGAATCATCTTGAATTTGCACTAGGAATTCCCTCTCCTCAAGAAGGTAAGTATACTGTTGACAATTTCCTTCCAGATGTCCTTTTAGTTGACAATAAATAAGCTTCTCTGCAGATGGATCACAAAGGGATCTGATTGACCAAAAAGCAAGGGAACAGAACAATGCTTCAGAAGCACCTAGACCTTTTTTAACTGGCAGAGAGGTTGAGAAACTTACTCCTGGTCCATCATCATTGGTAAGTCCTAGTGAAGCAAACTTATCGAAGGAAGCCGAAAACCAACACATGACAGATGATAGAGGTCACCAGCTCTCACTTTCATCTGAACATGGAGAAGATAGGAGGTATTTGAGTAAGATGAGAATGGTTCCAGAGGGTGAATCTGCAGTGCATGAAGGATCTGGATCACAGGCATCCAGATCATTACATTCTGAATCAAATTCATTCGGTGCAGCTGTTCTTGACGATTCTTTTGCAAACTTTCCCCAAGTTGGAACGTCTAACCAAGCTTCACTTATTCTGTATGCGAGTAAGCTAATGAAGCCTGAATTGAATAATTGGACCGGACCAACAGGTCAAGCTGAGATTTCTAGTGCGCCAGCACATGCCCCTTCTGTACCTCATGAGCCAGGATCACTAATTAATGATGTCTCACATCAATCTCAAAAGCCTATCGATTACAATGCCCATGGGATTCGCCAAGCTGACAATTCTTTGGCTAATATCTCTGCAAGGCAACAGTGGAAATCTGTCTCCATAGGGGATAGTCAGTATCCTAGTACCGCTGTGAAATGTGTATTGCCAGGTGAGGATCCTGGTCTTTTACTAGATCAATGCATATTTTTTTCATCCTAAGTAAGGCCTTTATTTCAATTTGAAATTTTGTTTCAATTTGCATGATTAAAATTGTGAATGCTTTGTAGTTGTGTTCTAATCGTCTTGTTTGTTGCTATTTTGGAGTACCTGCGAACTAGTACATTTGACCTATTTTTAATAAGGACCATATGAGCGGGAGCCAACCAACAATGATTCTTCTTTTGCACCTTGCAACAGTTGGATTTCAAACTATACTGTTTGGTATTGTGTAGCAGTTAGATACGAAACTTTGACTGTAACATTCCAGTAATTTATGTAAAACTTCTACATGGTAATAACTACTTCACCGCCCATATTTAAGGAAAATGGATTGACTTTCAGGAAATAATTTAAGCGAGCCTTCAGTTTGTGCTAAAAGTAAAATGTTCATTAACTGTATCTTTCGGTGCCCTTATTTCGGTTTCTCTTTTTTCATCTTACTCTTTTCACACATTGAGTTTTAAGATAAAATAATGTATATATGGTGCAATCGTACTCCCTCCTGTCCATATTATAAGGGATAGTTGTCTTTTTCTTAAAAAGTTGTGACTCAACTAATTAGACTACTTCAAAACACTTACATTTATCATTTGTATTGGATCTATGTTGCTTAACCTATAACTAAGTTTAAAAGTTCTAATATACTCCACCCTCCCTGAAATAAACTTTACTTTCACTATTCCCATGGTCAAACTATGTCTTCTCTCTTTGCATATTTCCAAAAAAAAGTCATGTCACCTCTTGTTGAGTTGAACCTTTGATCTAGTTTTGTTTTTTAAATCTACATTGGTATTTGATAAATTGAAAACAACTTCAATCAAACATTGTAAACCTTTTTTCAACTTTATTAAGGGATGGATGAAGTAAATAATATGATGTCATAACAACCCTTGATTTAAAATCCTAATTTCTCAATAAAAAGTGAACTCTTACCTTCATATATGGGATCAGAGGAGTATTCTAGAGTATTTTCTATCACCAATCAATTACTAAAAGTTTAAATGGAATCAACAGCTCCAGAAGTGGGTGACGAGGATGAAGATAGTTTTTTATCCACAGACAGGCCACCATCTCCAAGGTATACAACTCTAGAAAAGTGGATCCTGGATCAGCAGAAAAGGAAACTTGTTTCTGGAGAAAAAAGGGCTCTGAAACATCAGAAGACAGAAGAAAGAATTTCTGCCCGTGCTGAAAAGTTGAAGGTTTGATGTTTCAACTCATAATCTGAATTATTATCAGTGTACTTTGGTGATTAGTGTATAAATTTGGACCTCTTTGACAAGAATGCATATATTGTACACCCGGCGTACAACCGGGTAATACTCATTTTGGAGTAAAATAGTGCTCATTTTCGCACAGAGCATAAGTGTTCATTTTTGAGTAAAAGGGTATTCATTTTGAATCAACGTATTACTCATTCTGAAACAGCGTAGTGCCCATTTCACACGAATATCATAGTGTTCATTCTGAAACAACAGTGTTCTTTCTCAACGTAGTGTTCATTCTGAATCAACGTAGTGTTCATTCCGCCATCATTGTTGTCCATGAATTGTGTCTCCCTCGGCCCTCTTAAAAATCTACAATTCCATGTCTTCCACTGGCGCCGGCAATGCCTCTATGACGGATCCGTCGCCACGGACTCCTTCATGGATCTCATGGTGAAGAATTTTAATATGGCAGGCACAATTTTCCTTTGAAAGCTGATGGGTCATCGACTTATCTCTTCACTGAAAACCCGCTACAGAGGCGTTCTTTTTTCTACATAGATGACCCAACCTGAACAACAATTAGAGCAGCGCCGGAAACAAACCAGTGTTCCATCATCTGCGCCGACATCCTCTCTGGCAAGCACAAGCAGCGACGGGTGGCGAGACTGCGTCCATCCTTCGAGCGACGTCAATTCCTGTTCAAACTCCTCTCAAATCTTCGTTTGTCAATTTTCCAGTTATACCGGAACCAGTTGCACAATATAATTTGCGCTTTGAAATCCTTTATTCTGCTTTTAGAACTTCCGAAAGATGCTTTTTCAACCCAGAATAGGTTTTCACAACGGGCACAGTTGTATCACTTGTAATATGAAAAAAAATTCTATGCGTTCTTGAATTTGGATTGGGGTTGTTTTCGGCAGTGTTATCATGTTTATTATCTAGTTACATTATGTTTTGAGACAAAACCTCAAAAGTTGTATAAGTTTTGACACACCTCACCCCAAAAATCTATGTGAGATTCCTGGATTTTATTTATCAGCTTCACCTCTCCGTATCACTGTCACTATAGCATGACTGTACTTGTATTTCTATCATATGTGAACCTTCTTTTGCTATCCTCCATTGATCCTCTCATGATGTTATGGGTGCTGGGCCTGGGAGTGATGGTGTAACTTCAAACTCTAATAAGATTGGAAAGTTTAGTGACGTGTACGGATCAAAGGAGTGCTTGAGTTGTGGTGGCACGCAGGATTGAGAATCCTCGTCGACTGAGACAATAATCACATGCCAAAAATCTGAGAGACATCCACCTTCGACAACAACTCTTAGGTTTCATCGACTCTTTGGTGTATAAATTATCTGTTAGGCTTTCGTTTCTTCACAATGTGCATTTTGCCCTTCTCCTTTGTGATTTAAACTCACACAAGTACACACATTGTGTTCTATTGCTTACCCTTACCCACACACACACACATTTGTGTGTGCGTGTCTATACAAACACTTTCCATAATCTCCGATGGAATAAAGCAAATGGCTCTTTAATGCGATGTTGGGATGCTTATGCCATGTTCTCTTCACCTGATCTGAATGATTCTGATATAAATGAAACACGTTTTGATATGAATGTAGTTATATTTTAAGTTCATGATCTGATCTGGTCCGGTCTGATATATTCCAATACGAAAAAGAAATAAGTAATAAGAATAAGTTGAAGAGAACATGGCCTTCATGGACTCACAGAGTTTTCATGTATTCCCATGAAGTACTAGGCTCAACGAATAGTGTACAACTAACTGTAGTTAATGTTTTGCATTTTGATCGTACACCCCTCAAAGATTTGAATTATCAGATTGTTTGAATTCCCACATTTTCTTGTTGGACTTTGGGAGTATGAAGATGGTATTCGTGTGTGTTTGGGGGGGGGGATCTTGTGGGTTTTGTAGACTATTCTTAATAAGGATATGAAGGTGATTTTTTGGGGTTAGTCCCAGGCTAGTGTGAAGATTCATTGTGAGATGGATCAAACTATTCTTATGCCAAAATGATATACACTTTAAGATATTGGGAATTTGAACAATACTTAACAAATAAAGAGTCTATATAGAGTGGACAAATCTAGAGATGGTCAATAAGTCCACAACTAAGGCCCCTTAGTTCTAAGCCTACTAGAATTTATAGACAAATCATTTTGGAATGGAGGAAGTATCATTATGTGATGAAGAGTTAATGGTTTATAGAAAAGCGATGATTATATTTTAAATAGAGTTTTTTAATGAGGAAATGATAAAGAACTCATTGATTGACTTTTCAGTTCAACTTGTTCTATGAATAATTTTTAACTTTTATTCATGCTAGTTGAAAATTGTAGACATTTGGTGTGATAGCGTTTTAGTTCTTATAGAATGTGATGTTTGTGATTTTGATTTGTGGTTTAACGTGCAATACAATATTCAGGCCATGTTCTTTTGTGTTGGAACTTGGAAATTTAACTTCCAACTCTTTCCAACACCACTTTCTTCCAACTAACTCCTTCCAACTCTTATCAATGGGTTATATGAAATAAAAGTGATCAACAATATTCTAACCAAAGTTTTTATATTCATTCATTTTTATTTATATGCCAATGACATTTTTTTAATGATGAATTGATTAGTTTGATATTTTCTCAAAATTAAATTTAGTAAAATTTCAAAAAAGAAGGCAATATAGTTTTTTTCACATAAACAAATTACTGCTATTATTAATTTATTATCAATGTAAGAGAACAAATAAAGAAATTGAAACTAATGGTACAATTCCTTTAAAAGATAGAATATATCAAAATAGAAGAATAAAAATTTTGATATTCACAATACGCAAAAAACATAGATTCTAAATAGATAAGGTTTAATTGAACCTAAAATTTTAGCTACATATCATTTTAATAATCCAAGTATCCTGTACTAAATTATTTTGCAACGTTTATCATCTAATGTCACGTAAATATGTTTACTTCCATATAATAAGTATTTTTAATTTACCTCCAAAATGATGTATATTATTCAAATGTAACAAATTTAACTTATACTTGTCCAGACTTTCCATACTGTATAGTTTTGTTTGATGTTGTGTAGCTCTCACAAGATAATTTTGTTCAAAGATATGAATTAGTTATTTTTGTATTATATTGTTCAATTAGTTATCATTGTTAAAAAATTGTGTAAAAAATGAAATATTATATTGAATTTTATAACGATCATTTTTATTTATTATTGATTAGTGTATAATAATATTATCAGATTTTTTAATACAAAATGAGGTTACAATATTTTTTCCAACTTCTTCGAGCTCTTTCCAACATTGAACTCCTTCCAACTACTTTGGACGTTAAACTCCATTTATCCAACCCAAAAGAACAGGGCCTTATATTGGTGAAGGTCTATGGCTCTCTAATTAATGTTGATATCTTCTTGAACATGTGATCTTTGCAGGAAAGTGTGATCTCCTTAGATATTTCCACTAAAACAAAGAGTGTGATCGAATTGAAAAAACTTCAATTGCTGGAGCTACAACGTTGCCTGCGGAGGTAATGGATCTCTCTAAAACTGTTTTTAAATGATAATATTGTTTTCTCCATTTTCATCAATGAGATGAAATAAATTTATAGACCTTCACCTTGTTATGACTTCTAAGTAGAACATTACAATTGGAATTGCTGTGTTTGACCATGATTTGGCCATAAAAATGTGGATTGATGAGTTGGGACAAATTGTTGATTTGCATACCCCTTCGGTCAAAGACAAAAGTTACTTCGATTAAGGATATTTTTTGCTTAAGAATCTCAGACCCAACTTGACTTCACTTCAGCTCTGAAACTGCATGATTTGGTTTATAATAGAAACAACTCAAGCATATATCGAGTGCTTCAACATCATTCTCGTCCTCTACTTTTAGCTATTCATTTGGGAATTGGGAATTCGGAACATGCTCAAATTTAAACATATTTCTCTCAAACAGCCAATCGTTCTTTTTTTTGCAACTACAAATCTTTGCATTTTTAATTGCTGAGCGCCTAATTCTATGGTGTGCAAGGGGCTAAGTTTTCTATATATAGTAGATCCTTATCGTTTCGATTATAGACACCTTGTATTTTGAATATGGAGCAAAAATAGTTGGATTATAATAAAGTTGAGTTAGATTTGTTGGATTGTCAAATGTGATCACTGTATTAAATGACATGCACATTTATTTTTAACACTTATTTTACTATTTGAACTTTGCATTGTGTTGTCTTCAGTGTGACATTCATTTCCAAAAGTTTGATTGAATTATATACTCCCTCCGTCCCTAAAAAAAATTTCCTCTTTAATTTTTTGCCTTCCCAAAAAGTCTTTCCACTTTCTACTAAAATATCACTTTTACCCCGGCTAATTCTTACCCTACCTATCACATAATATCTATTCACTACTAATCTACCAATCACTTCAAGGTTTATTTAGGAAAGTCAAAACAAAAATATTTCATTCTTACATTCCATACAACTCAAAATGGGAAAGATATTTTGGGTCGGAGGGAGTATCTATAAATGGTTATTTGACACAATCCTTTTAGCCATATGTTGCAGATTGCTTTATTTGTTAATCTTTTTTCTTGGCTTTTTATGAAATGCCAACAGGGATATTTTGAAGGACTTTTTCAAACCAATAGCTGCAGACATGGATCGCTTAAAGTCAATCAAGAAAACTAGAATAGGAAGAAAGTCTAAGCAGTTTGAAAGGTATGAGCAGAGAATGAAGGAAGAACGTCAAAAGAGAATCCGTGAGAGGCAGAAGGAATTTTTCAGCGAGGTTGAAGTTCATAGGTTTGTTTTTTCATGTCATGCTTGCAAATTCTTTCAACCTTAGATTCATTTTGTTAGCTTCAATCACGGTATGAGCTATTTCTTTTGCAATTCATGTTGTCAAGAGTTGCATTCTTTTTCTTAGTCTATGAAGTTTATTGCCTTTTCAATGGTGGTTTTAAACGGCGCGCGATGCATCTGAGCCACAAAGAAAATGTCCAAATGGCTTAAGCCTTGGTAAACTAAAATAATGTTTATACCCTAAATCCCTAATGTTTCTGAGCTACAGAGGTGCAACCGCTGAGCAAAGTGCAAAGCTTAAAGGTGCCGAGGCTTAAACCTCGATTTTATACAAAAGAATCTGGAGTCTTGCCCTCTTTAGAGTTGGTTAAACTTTAAACTGTTATTGGCTAATTTTTTAAACCATTGTCCCATAGCCGAACTCTTGGGGGAGTTGTTTTCACAAGTAGCTAGATCCATTGCTTGGCGTTCCGCTTCCTCACTTGATCTTGCAACAACACCTTGCTTCTTGCTCTTACAAGAGATTAAGTTCCCACCAATCTCGACCATCGGACAACCAACCTAGTCAGCATCCCACTATCCCATAAAATTGCTATGGCTTTTGTCTCCTTAAAATAATCCCAGCTTGGTGTTTTCTTGGTGTGCAGTAGAACTCGTATAACAGCTCAATCCCCATTTGAACATCAACAAGTAGGTAGGTCTTGCAAGTGGGGTCTGGAGAGGGCGGATGTACACAGACGTTACCCTACCTAGCATCCCAATTCATTGCAAGATTAATCAATGGATTGACTAAGCCCACTTACTGTAACTGAACTGTCAGGCATCATGCTTTTGAGAAAATTCATATTTCCAATGAGCCGTCTATATTACTCCTTATTGTAGGAGTGACTTCCCCTATTTGGGAGGAGTTTAATCAATAGGTATATCCACTTGCCTACATTTCTTATCTACATATTTTGATGAAGAATATAAGATACATATTTCCTTCTGGAGAGAACAATGCCTTTACTAGATTGATCTATTTTAATACCCAAAAAGCATTGCTCGTTTTAGTGATTCCCCAAGTTAGTCTGAAATTTGCCCATCAATATTTCTTTTAGTTGGATAACTTTTTTGATCATTATGATTGTTCGTTGTAGAATGCTGGTAGAATACAGAATGCTCAACATTACTTGTAGGCATGTCAGATCCTTGTACAAGTGTAATTAATCATCCAAATCATGTGTCCATTCAAATCAGTCACACATAGATTGTTTAAAGCTATTCTTCCCCTGAAGGACAAAGTCGAGTGGTTGCCCCATGTAAACTTCTTTGAATAGTCATATTGATCTTTATGGAGGAAGCCATTCTTGATATCCAAATGAAACAAAGGCAAATGTCTTTTGCAGCCTTGTATAAAATCAATGAGACACATCCAATCCTTGCCAGATGCTCGAAACTGCATATTGCACGGTTGATGCAGGTTATGGGACTGGGCATGGTGTAAGCTTCAGTGCGCAATGGGGTGTAAGCCTCACTTTTTAAGCTCAAATTCATTGAAAGGAATTATAAGTACTCTGTATTATATAATTAACTGAAAATTGTTTATTCTATATTCATAAAAACTAAAGACAGATTTAATGCATGTACAACAACGAAGGTTATAAGACTAACGAAAGTGTGAGTTCAAGCATGGCATAATACCAGATATTGTGTAAGCCAATGTTATCATGGCGGTGAGGCACCAATAAATTAGATTGTAAAGGCCAATTACAATCAGTAAAGTTCACAAATAGAATACCATAAACTCAAGTGTAAAGAATCAATAATTACACAATAACATTGTAATAACTATTAAGTTTTAGCTTTAAGTTTCAGAACTTTTAATAAATAAACCACATATAAATAAAAATCACAAATAATACGTTAAATAACAATGTTTAATAAGTACTGCAATTGCTTAATACAAATACAACCAACTTTAATAAACTAAAATAACAAGTACTTCCACTTGTGTAGCAGTTGGCAGCCTTGCTTATATACTAAATACACGAAGAAAAACAAAAAAAAAAATAAACAAAAGAAATGGAGCAAGAATAAAAAACCAAGAAAAGAAGAAACAACGCCAAAGTGAAGGAAGAAATACAATTCGAAAAAATGAAAAAGGGGAAGATGTTTGTTCGTTCTTATATTAAAACTGAGGCATCTGTAGATCAACTTCTTCACTCTTCTGTCCACAATCATTGTGGAGCAGGTATAAGAAAATGACGATAGATGTGTAGCCACTAAGTTATAGACAACAGGTATGCTTGGAGTGGATTAAGTCCCGGCTAAGTTACACATTTTCTGTCTTGGTGCAATAATGTGCACCCTCAACTCTTCTGTCTAAAATAGTTATGGAGACGCCTTAACAACTATGACTCTCTCCACAGATGCAATGGGGCACACATCAGGGCACATTGCATTTGGACATTTTCCTTGCCATAGGTGAAAATGTGTCTGTATAACCAAGAACATAAATCTAGGAGTAACACACCTTTCCCACCTAATGTGCTTTAAGACGATAGCCTTTGCAATGAGGAGTTGACAACCAACCTTCACAGCATAGACCTCAGAGCATAGACCCCACTGACACCCAACAACTGACTTACCAGGGTGATGAGCTGCCAATTTGCATGTGCCACTAGAATAATTAGCCTACATCTCATCCACACTGGAAGAGGAAGTGCCTCACACAGGTTGAGGTGATTGTAAATGAGAGAGTTGTGATGTAACATTATAGTTAAGAGTTGAAATAAGTATGTGTACATTAGAAAGATGTGAGATGGCAGTGAGTAGAAGTGGAACATTTATGTGTGTGTGTATATATACATATATACATACATGCATACATACATACATACATACATACATATATATATATATATATATATATTTGTAGAACAATAGGCAAAATCACCAAGCGTGGGCTCAGATTTTGGGATAGTCAATTGCTATGTTCAGATTTGATTGGCGTAACATCAAGAATCTCAGTAGCAACTAGACAATGTCGACAATGATAAACTTGCAAATGACGAGTGGCCTCTGTGGAGAGCAGAGGAGTCATGAGATGGTTGGTTGCAGGTGTCATGAACAGAGGTCTAGATCATTGTAGAGGAAAATTGCTTTTTTTTTACTTTGATTGGATTGGAGGCGTGTGGCTACACATAGCTAAGGTTTCTGGGTTTTGGTTTTGGATTATTTTAGATCATTGTATGAGCATGACACACTACAACAAAATGAAATTGTTTAGTTGTGAAGTTACTATATCATGGAAAATGATACTATTCAAGAAAGAAGAAAATTGATGGCTGTGATACCACATGAAATTAATGAAGATAATATTTCTATTTCTTCTTGATAAATGATGAAGTGTACTTGGATGTGCAGATTAAAAAGCTATCCTAATGACATCATGGAAGCCATCTTATATGCTTATATCACATAATCATGGCATTTCTAGACCTATCTTTACGACACAATATCCTATCGTTAAAAACTTAGAATCATAAGGCAAAAGCATGTTTTTAGTCTTTATTATTTTAGCATGCATATTTTATCCTTACATGCCCTATTGATTTACTGTTTTTCCTTTTTAGAATAATATTTTATGTGTTTAATTCAACATATCAAGTTCTATGTAACTGAACTATCATTATAAATCTTTTTGTTTTCCCTTTTGACCATCCTATATCTTCCATGCCATTTCCTTAAATTGAAATGCTATTCACCTTTTTACAACTAAAAGAAAATTTTACCCATACTTTTGCAGTATTCACCTTCTTTACATCTCTCTTCAATTTATTACACCACCAAAGGACAAAATGGAAAGTCAAACATTTTCATCGTACATTAAAAACTGTGCCAAGTCAAAACAAGAAGAAAGATATGGGACGAAGGATGTATTCAAAACCAATTTTGCATTTCAAAACCTTATTTTGAATTTAATCTTATCAATATCTTGAACCCAGGGAAAAAATGGAGGATGTATTCAAAACCAAGAAAGAACGCGGGAGGGGTTTCAATAGGTATGTCAAAGAGTTTCACAAAAGAAGGGAAAGGATACATCGTGAGAAGATTGAAAGGATCCAACGCGAGAAGATAAATCTTCTGAAAATCAATGATGTTGAAGGGTACCTTAGAATGGTTCAGGTATGTTGTTACTTGTCAGTTATTACTAAACATTTGCATTACAAGGTTGGTAAATGATACTCTCCTGTTATTGTAGATTTTTTAATATGCTTCTAATATGTTGATAGGATGCAAAATCAGACCGTGTCAAACAATTACTGAAGGAGACTGAAAAATATCTTCAAAAGCTTGGAACAAAGTTGAAAGAGGCTAAGGGAACTGCCAGGAGATTTGATAGTGATATGGGTGAGAATGGGGACACTGAGGTGGTGGAGGAGGTTGAATTTGCTTTTGATGAAGGAGATGAAACCGATCAGGCTAAGGTATCTTTTGGGCTTTTTGTTTCCCCTTCAATTGTTCATACATCTTGCATGTGCTACGTGAACGCATGTGCAAATGCTATTTCTCATTAGTCATCTATTTTGAATACATCACTCCTTGTGTAAACATTGTATATAATGTGTTATGCAGCATTATTTGGAAAGCAACGAGAAATATTATTTGATGGCACACAGGTAATTACCTTGTGTTCTCACCTTTCATATTCTGGTCTTTAAAAATTTTCAGATTTTAGTTTTATAACTTATTAGCTTCAACTTGTACTACTATGTCCAATATTGTCTTTATAATCTTGGAAAGTAGTTAAAATTTTTATCCCATTTATAAATGAATGTTTTCGGCTTCTGTTAGCATACCTGCTGATTGCATATACTTTTCTGCAGTGTTAAAGAGAACATTACAAAGCAGCCAGCTACTCTTGTGAAAGGGAAATTAAGAGAGTGAGTAACATTCTAACATACAATACAAGAGTTAAAAACTTTACTAAGCACAGTGTTTGATTATTTTTTCAAGCACTTCGTATTCAATTGTCTATTTTCTTTTAGGTATCAAATGAATGGGTTGCGGTGGCTAGTTTCGCTTTATAATAATCATCTCAATGGGATCTTAGCCGATGAAATGGGCTTAGGTAAAACAGTTCAGGTATATAACTTATCATGGGTTATATGATTGTTTGATGAAGTTTTATAATTTTGAATTGCATTTTGGCTTGTTTATATTAATCACTTAGATTCATGGGCATGTTTTAATAAAATTATAAACCATAGTTTTAGATGTTTCTGTATTTTCTAGAGTATTAAGGCTAGAGAACCATTCTACATTTTGCAATCTTTGGAGATTATTTCTCTACTCTGCAAAACGCAACCCAATGATTTTTAGGCCATTCTGTTGAACAAGTATGCATATCAATAAGTGGGATGTCTTTTCTTTATTTGTTCTCCCTGTGGGTTTTGGAGTTCAAAGGTTCGTTGCCTTGCTTTTTTTGTTTTTGGCATGTAGATAAACATGACGAAGTATGGGTGTGGACTAGGATTCCGACCATTCACGACATCTTTAGTCTAAGATTGGAGTAGAGAATAGGGACCTCTGGCATACTATGACAAGAAAGATGTATGATCATTGTGAAATCACACATTTAACCTTCAATTTAACACCAACAAGACAAAAAGTAAAAAAAAAAAACTATCCATGGAAAGTTACCCATAGAAGGACCATGGCCGTAATATTTGATAATAGAGGACTAAAAATAAAAAACTCTTGTTATAAAAGACCGGTTATAGAATTTACTCAATTTAGGCTTCTCAGTTTTTACCCTTGTTATAAAAGAGCGCTACACCTTTCAACCTTTAGAAACGGCCCAGTTTAGTAGGGTTGTGTGGGGGGGGGGAGTAGAAGAAGGAGAAAAGAATTGTGGGGTGGGAAAAGTTGAAGAGTTTTTTTTTTTTTTGAAATCAAAGAGGAAGATGAATTGAAGGATATATGGAGCAAGGCTGTGCATTGGGGTGGAACAATTGAAGAAAACAATGAGGATTGTGGCATGTGGACGGGATTGAGTGGTAAGGGTAAATTGGTCATTTAACACAGAATTTTTTGCTGAATAAGGAAATGGGAAGAAAGTTTATTGACAGCCCAAAAAAGAAAGTGGGAAGAAGTTTTTTGGACAGAGGGAATTCTAATTAGGCAGATCAGATAATGTAATACTCTGTATTACATTTAGTAATCCTCCAAATGGAGCAGTGACAACCTCAAGTAAGGCAAGTAACTTGAATTGCCACCCACAGTCTTCACCTTGGTCTTGGCTCCATCGTACATATCTTCAATCATCATAATCTAAGCAACCGGCATGCCTCTAGATTCTAAGCAATGCCAAAACTTCTCTAGAGACATCATCATTTTGTTTATCATACGTGTTCTCAAAATCAATAAACACCATGCGTAGGTCACTCTTCCTATCCATGTATTGCTCCATCAAGCTCTTTAACAGGTGGATGATAGCTTCAACAGTAGATTACTCTGATATAAATTCAAATTCACAATTTAGTTCTCGGAAATGGTCACCCGTCATTCCCAACCCTTCATAGTGCGGCAGAGAAGTTTGATACTCATATAGTTTTTGCAGTTTTGGATATCGCCCTTGCCTCTTTTCAACTTGATCATCGTACTCCCTTCCATTCCTCGGGAATCTTAGCCACTTTGAAAATGATATTGAACTGTTCTATTAGCATTTCCCCATTCCAACCTGCATGCTTCTTGTATTCCACATGGTTCTCGTCTTGCCCATGCACTCTTATTTCTACAGAGTACTCGTAACAACATCTATCACCTCTCTCAGACTAATGTGCCTACAATAGCCAAAGTACCAAGGTCACCTAGCCCAAGCGGCATGCACCTGTCCACATTTATGAATCTATGAAAGTAACCTACCATCTAGTCATCTACGTTTAATGTTTGCTGGTTCCAACAGAACCTTACCCGCATCATTCGTAGTGCATCTCACTTGGTCAAGATGGCGTGCCTTCTGCTCCCTTGCCTTAGAGAACTGGTAAAATTTTTTCACCTCATTTCTCTTCTAGATCATTGTAGAACTGTGCTAAAGTTGTGGTTGAACAAGATAGAAATTAAAAGTTAATATTTCTTGGCCTTAGGCTTTTATCAATCCCGCCTAGCCCTCTGGGTGCTAGACCCTTTTCCTGAGTAATTCTCACACGCCTGGGAACACTGTTTTGTTTTGATTGATCATAGGAATGTGTGAAGTGGATTTCATTTGCAAGAAGTATTGAACTTGGTGTTGCAGTATTGCCATATTCATTTTAAATTCATTTTTCTTGATATTGTTTTTGTAATTGGGGTGGATGAGAGCATGGGTGGCGATGACAGCTTTTTTAGAGTTTGCCAGTGAATAGTGGGTATTAGTTTCGTGAAAAGGAGCAGCTTTTTTAGTTGAAGAATGGAAAATGGGCTTTGGTGGATTAAACTCTTTGTTTACCTGAAAAGTCAGGGCTTTAGTCTCTGCATGCATGATTTATATTTTAACTTTTACAAAAATACACTGTCGGGTTTTGCTTGTGGGGGTCTCCTGCAAATGTTTGAGACGGTTGAAGGTGACGTGATAGACGTTCATGATTTTTCTTTTGTCAATTCCTTGATTCAGGCTCTTGATTTCATTTTGGAAATATATTTTGCAAACAGTTTGATTTTAGTGCACTGTGCATTGATGGTCTGAGTTCTATTTAAAATTTCTAGATTCTCTGCAATGCATAATAAGATAATAGATGATCTAATGAGAATATTTTGCAGGTTATTTCTTTACTCTGTTACTTGATGGAAACAAAAAATGATCGCGGTCCCTTTTTGGTGGTGGTGCCGTCCTCTGTCCTACCAGGATGGGAATCAGAAATAAACTTTTGGGCACCTAGCATCAATAAAATAGTTTACTCGGGACCACCCGAAGACAGACGAAAGCTTTTTAAGTATGAACTGAAAAAGACTCAAATGTATTGATGAAGTTCTTTATACAATTTCTGTTAGCTCACATGTTCTTGGTAACATTCTTGTCTGCTTGTCATTGCAGGGAAAGAATTCTCCATCTGAAATTCAATGTTTTATTGACAACGTATGAGTATTTAATGAATAAGCATGACAGACCAAAGCTAAGTAAAATACATTGGCATTACATTATAATTGATGAAGGGCATCGTATAAAAAATGCTTCGTGCAAATTAAATGCTGACTTAAAGCTCTACCGTAGTAACCACAGACTGCTTTTGACTGGAACACCTTTACAGGTATACTTGTAAGCTATGATTTGTGTCAAATAGATACTCTTCTCGCCGTGTCATTATGAACATTACTTCTCGGATTATTTTGTAGAACAATCTTGAGGAGCTATGGGCACTTCTCAATTTTCTTTTGCCAAATATTTTCAACTCTTCAGAAGATTTCTCTCAGTGGTTCAACAAACCATTTGAGAGCAATGGCGACAACTCTCCTGATGAAGTAAGCCTACTAAATGTTGTTGCTTCAAGTGCTGGTGATGTTGACCTTATGTGCGGATTTATCAGATTCGTAATATTTATTATGATTTGATTAGGCTTTACTCTCTGAGGAGGAGAACCTCTTAATCATAAATCGCCTACACCAAGTTCTGCGTCCATTTGTGCTCAGAAGATTGAAACACAAGGTATGCGCGATTGGAGGCTCACAGTTTGATTCATGTCTGCTAATAAGTCTTCAGCTACTGACAGATCTTTTATTGCACTATCTTGTTTAGTACACTTCTCCATTCCAATCAGGGTATCACAAGTGAAGGATTAAACTTTTGATATGTGAGACAAATATGATTAATCGAGTGATTATGACTGAATAATTAGCTGGGAATCCTCTTACCCCCACTATAGTATTCTTTCTATGATTTTTTTTAAATGTATAACACCATAATATACACATATAATATAATTAAATATTGTGATCCTTAGGCAGTATATCATGATACAAAATTAAGAGCTTGTTCTCTTTGTCTTTACTGATAATCTCAAATTTGGGTCCCAAATTGATGGGTTAGTGTGAGGTTATACATGAGATTATGCAGTCTTTGAATAGGAATCTGTTTTATGAAATATTCTGGCATTCGTACTTTGGTGGGTCTAGGATATATTTTTAATGACCTATGTTTAAGGGATATCTAGAACAGGAAAATAACTTGGAAAAAAAGTTGTAGTATTATGAATGAGATTTGTATTCGTTCGTGAAAAAGTGTTGGTCTGATCTAATTCAAATAAGAATAAGCAATAAGTATAAGTTGAAGAATGTACACTTGAATGAGTGATAAAGTTCTTGGTAGTGACGTGGGAGCTAAGAGGAAGCAAGTTAATGCTGTATTTAATATAAAATTTGAAATTTTTGAGAATTTGATATGGCAAATTCAGCTTGTTTAGATATACGCGTTAATAGAAGTTAGGATACACAACAAACATAGTATAACCCCAACTCAATTGGGGTCTAGGGGTTAAGATCTGCTCAGCCTTCACAAAGAGGCCACTTTCTTTAGACCCCTTGATGAGTTACTGCATTTACTACCCAAATTTTACATAGACAATAAGACAACAACAACAACAACAACCCAGTTGGATCCCACTACAGTAGGGTCTGGGGAGGGTGTGTGTACGCAGACCTTGTCCCCGGCTCAACCTGCACAAGAAATATGATAGGGTACACAATATAGCATGGATAAAGCACCAAGTACAATGAAATGAAAGTTCTACACGCATTAATAGAAGATTCCAATCAAACACAACACACTACAAAAAAACCTCTGTAGCACCGAGTTCCTAACCAGCTACTCTAATCCTAGTTCTCCAAAGGTTCCTATCTAAAGCCAAATCCTCAGTCAGGGTGAGAAGTCCGGAATCCTGCCTAATCACCTCCTTCCAATTCTTCTTAGGTCCCGACGTCTCACATGACCAAACCATCTCAACCTCGCTTCCCGCAATTTATCTTCCACCGGCGCCATGCCTACCTGACGTCGGATAACTTCGTTCGAAATCCTATCCAACCTTGTCTTCCCACACATCCATCGTAACATCCGCATCTCCGCCGCATGCAGACGACGCACATGAGTCTTCTTAACCGCTCAACACTCTGCCCCATATAACATATCAATCTGACTACGGATCGGTAGAACTTGCCTTTCATCCTGGGCGAAATCTTCGGGTCACACAATACCCTTGAAGCCAACCGCCATTTGGCCCATGCAACTCCAACACGATGTCCAACATCCCCGTCTAACATAAACAATAAGAAGTGAAGTATAATGTGCCATTTTGATTTTGTTCATTATGTAGCCAAAGCTAAAATAGTTTGTCCAAATAATTTTTGTAGCCGAAGCTAAAGCTAGGATATGGCCTTAGATGAGAGCGCTTAGAGGTTGAGGATTAGGATATGGCCTTAGATGAGAGCGCTTGGGAAGTGGTCTACCCTTGTGTATGAGTTGCTGCGTTTGTTATAGTTTGGTGTGTGCTTGGTTATTTTTCTGTTCCATTTTTTCCTGAGTTATTTTGTGTTTCAAGCCAGAGTTTATTGGAAACAACCTTATTATTCTCCAGGTAGGGGATTGGTAGGCTTAGGTTTGCATACACTCACCCTGACCCCTTTTTGTAGGATTGTATTAGGTTTGTTTTTGTAATGACTCTTTTTGCTCCATAAGCAATGTGTACTAATAGTGCTTTAAAAATACATGAGATTTTTATTTAAGAAACAGATGCATAGCTTGATTATTATTACAATCGTAGTTTGAAACATCATGAATAAATGGAGGTGGATTCTCAACCCGCACTCCAACTCTCCAAGAAATCAGGCTAAGAAAAAGCATCTTGAACTACATTATGGGCAACTTGGTTTGCTGACCTCTGAATAAAAGACAACAATTGCTTATGATCAGCATTTTTTGTTGCCAATCCCAAACCTCGTATCTGGGTCAGTCTTGCAGCAGAACACATCCCCAAGCCATGAAGAACAGATTCCTCAAACCTCCCACATCTTTGGCATTGATCATTTGCTATGAATTTTTTATTAAGCCAAGGAGACTCGATTGGGTAGGATATCGTGCAACACCAACCATATGAGTTTTAAGAATTTTCATTGGGGGTTTTTACCAAACAAGCTTCCACTTTTGTTAATGGTCCCATGAAGTGATGAAGAGCTTGTATTAGAAGCCATATTAAAAAATTGTCCCCATTTTTAACTGTAGTGACTGCTAGAATATCAGAAATTCAAAGTCACCCTACCAGAATGAGGAATCATACTCATAAGAAATCATTTAGATTACTTCAATTTTTTTATCAACGAGATCATGCGATTTTTTTGTCCTAAGTGCGTGAATCTGCATTAATTTTGTCAACCTCAAAATCCCCATTCAAGAAATTTGCACTTTGAACAAAATTCATATTCTTATCAGTATGTCAAGAATGCCATACACTTCGATGGTTTCACCAATACGCTTAACAACAACCATTTTGCCAGTATGCTTCTGTTCATTATGTTGTTTTACATGTTAAACAATTATGTGAAGTGTATGCACGATGCACAGATTTCTCGAGTGACAGTTTAAAGTTTTAACGGAGAGTTTGTTTATGTATTCTCTTGTGCTGATAGTGTTTCCTTCGCAAATGGTTATAATAGGTTGAGAATGAATTGCCTGAGAAGATAGAAAGACTTGTTAGGTGCGAGGCTTCTGCATATCAAAAATTGTTGATGAGGAGGGTAGAAGACAATCTTGGTGCAATTGGAGCTTCAAAGGTTACTTCTTCAACTTTATTATTTCAAAAAAATTCTTAGCTTTTACACCTCATGTAATAGTTGGTTTATCATTTTATTGCCACCCTGTTTGTGTTATTATTGATTACTCCTTCCGTCCGGGAAAGATCTTCCCATTACGCGTTATGAGGCTTGACCTACTATATTTTCAATTCAATTTATTTGATTGTAGGTGTAAAACTAAAAAATAAATTTGTATAGTAAAAACTAAATAAAAAGTTCTACAAAACCAGAGGTGGCCTGACTATATTATTTTATAAAATGAGTAGTGAAAATAAGCATAGAGAGTGAGTGAAGTGTATGGGATGATCTTTCTTGGACGGCAGAAGAATAAAATACTCCGTATTATTTAAATGAGTCATTGTCGATTTACTTAGTGCTTTTGTTGTACTCCCTTTGTTATACAAATCATCATGTTGGAAAAGCTTTACAGGTTTAACAGGGTAAATGTGATGTAATTTTGGGAAATAATTAAGTAGTATACCTCCGGGTTTTGTGCATGTGGCCATCTAGTGGAAATTGTTTAAGTAGTAGCAGATGTTGAATTTATTAAATGTGCGTGAAAGGGGACTTTGCTATGTAATATGGAGAATATATTTTTATGTACAAGATAGTCTTGCATGTGCATACAAATCTATTTGATCAACTCATTCAGTCTTTTGTTTTCCCTTCTTTATTAGGCTCGATCTATTCACAATTCAGTGATGGAGCTCCGCAACATATGCAATCATCCATATCTTAGTCAGCTTCATGTAGACGAGGTACATCTCTAACTCATTCTCCTATGTTTTTCTATTTTTTTACTTTTCTCAAACTGTTCATGGGTTAAAATACTGTTCATTGGTTGGGTGCAGGGTAGGGTGCTAGTACAGACATGACCAAACAATAGCACATATATGTTCATGTAAATTATGTTAAAGAATGGTCTTGTTTGGACTAGCACTATTTTTATAAGGTTACCATTATGTTTTTCTTGGCTTTCTTTCTGTTCATTCTTGCATAGATATGCATGAAAAAGTTTGGAGCTACCACAATCTTTTGCTGAATTCTCTTGAACATATTCGTGATGTCAGGTTCATGACTTCATTCCAAAACATTATTTGCCTTCTGTGGTGAGACTATGTGGGAAGCTTGAGGTCCTAGATAGATTACTGCCAAAGCTTAAGGCCACCGAACATCGGGTATGTAGTAGTTTGAGGTGCTAGTGGAGATTATTGACCATTATACTCATACTTGCACAGTTACATGCCTAACTTGAATGAATTTTGGTGCTTGTAAGCATATATTATTTTCTTTTGATTTTAAACTATAAAAATGTTTGTACTACCTACATACCTGAAATTGCCAATCCTCAGTAATGTTGCTTTTTTGTTTTCACTATGAAAACAAGCTGGCTTGTGTTGTTTTATTTTCCTTAAGCAGTAAAGCTGGTTGAATCCATTTCTGGTCATTGAGATTTATTCATTTCCAGATCTTGCTGTTCTCAACAATGACACGACTTCTTGATGTGTTGGAGGAGTATCTCTACTGGAAACAGTATAAATATCTTCGCTTGGATGGGCATACATCCGGGGGTGATCGAGGAGGCCTGATTGAAAAGTTCAATGATCCAAACTCTCCATATTTTATATTTTTGCTAAGGTAGTTATCTTATCTAAAATTCAGATTCATTTATTTATGAACTTCATTAAGTAGATTGCCACCCACTTCGGTGATTGTTTTGATATTACGAATGGCAAGATTCACATTTAACATACTGATAAGAAATACAAGTATTATAGAATGCAAAAATTGGGCCAGAACTAAGTTCCTTCAGTGGAATGTCTTTTTTAGTTGGAATAACCTCAATGAAATTTCTGCTTTTCCTTGAGAATGAATTTTACAAAACTAGATAACACATCATATTATCGTCTTAGATGTTTTTACTACCATACCTTTTCTGTCAAAAAAGTTTTGTACTTTTATGTTGCTCCTATGTCAAGTGTTCTAAGTGGAAGGTTTGTTAATTGTTCAGATGACATTTGGTAATTTGTGGCTGTGGAAAAGTGCAATCCTTCAACCTTTTAGGCATATATGGAATAGCTCCTTTGTTTTTCTTGCCTAACTCTTTATAACCTGACTAACAATAAGTTTGTTCCAGTATCCGGGCTGGGGGTGTTGGAGTGAATCTTCAGGCTGCTGATACAGTGATAATTTTTGACACAGATTGGAATCCACAGGCAATGATGTCAAATGCTCTTTACAAGTTTCATGGAATCCTACTTAGAGTATCTTTCTTATTAGTCAATTCATCTTTGTTTCTCAGGTCGATTTGCAAGCACAGGCAAGAGCTCATAGGATAGGGCAAAAGAAGGATGTGCTTGTTCTTCGATTAGAAACGGTATGTACATTTGGCCTACCCTCAAATTAGATTTGGGATCGATATTTTCATTTCAGTGGTCTGAAGGTAGTCATTAATTATTGATGGTTGATATTCAAGCTAGTTCATACTACCCTGGCCCAAAAAAAGTCATGCTTGCCTAGGTACGATTGTTCTGGTAAAATACAAGGGCTCAACTGGTATAATCATGGATTCTACTTATATTTTTGAATTCTGGGTTTGAGTATATTATATGCAAAAAAAACCTTGCTTGAGATAACATGAAAAGGTTTGGAGACGATAATAATGTTTCCGCAGACCCATAAAAAGGTTTCACATTTCTATCTCGTCTATCCCAAGAAAAAGTTGCCACTTTCCACTTATGGGAAAAAATTGTCTCATTTTTCACTTTCAACCACATAATTTCACCTTTCTTAATAACCATGCCAATTCCTTTGTGAAACCTTTATGTTGGACAAAGAGAGTGTTATATAGGACTCTTTTCTGGAAGAAGGAAGTTCTTATCCTTTCACTGTGTTACATTTCAATAACCTCGACCAAGTAAATTTCCACGTACTCTGTTTAACATTCTTTTTAATTATTATGAATTTTAGTTGAAATTTTTCCATCAATTGCTATCTTAACTCATTATGGCATGTCAAAGTCAAGGATTTCTAAAATGTTGTTGCTTGGACATTTGTTGTTAATTACATGAAGTTTTTAAAATTTGAAAGTGCTTGTACTTTTACCTAGGATTCTTATTTTTTTAGTTTTTTTCTTTTTCCATAGGATGTTTCTAGAGGTTGGCTGTGGTTGATAATATCAAACATTGTCACCCTTTGTTGATTTTCCTGGTATTTTACATATAATATTAAATTATTAGCATTCGTTCCTGTCTTTTTGGTAATGTGGCCCAAAAGAGTCAAGACTGCTCTCTCTTGGTGAATTCATTCAATTTTTGTTGTACCTATCTAACTTTCAAAAGTTGCACTTGTAAGGTGTTATCCTTCTATGTCTTTTCTTTAGGTGCAAACTGTTGAGGAACAAGTAAGAGCTGCTGCAGAGCACAAACTTGGTGTCGCTAATCAGAGCATTACTGCAGGTTTTTTTGACAATAACACAAGGTAGGTCTATTGAAGGATAGTTTAAGCCTAATATCTTATCATTGGCTAATTGCACCTTCAATAATTTCAATATTATGTTGTAGTGCGGAGGATAGAAGAGAATATCTGGAGTCCCTCCTGCGGGAAAGCAAGAAGGAAGAAGCTGCACCCGTGCTGGATGATGATGCACTAAATGATCTTATTGCACGCAGGTGAACAGTTGATGCGATATGAACCCTCTCCCCCAAAAATAAATTTGGAGTACAACAACAATAACAACCAAGTAGAATCCCACAAAAGTTGGGTCTATGGAGGGTATGTGTACGCAGACCTTACCCCTACGAAAAGTAGAGAAGCTGTTTCAAAGAGACCCCCCGCTCGAGCAGCACAGAGAGCAAATAGCATGACAAGAATACAGAGTACACTAAAAGAGAAAAAGCGATAAGGCATGAAGTACACAGGAAACCGAAAGGAGAAATAAGTCAAGCCAACACAACACATGAACAAAACTAGCACCCTAGACTAAACGACTATATAGCTACCCTATTCTTAGATTTCTAGACGTCCTTATCTAAGGTTATATCCTCGGTAAGAGCGAGGTGTCCTAAGTCTTGCCTAACCACCTCTTTCGAATTCTTCCTAGGTCTATTCCTTCCCCAAACGCACGAACTATCGAAAGCCTCTCGCATCTCCGCACTGGGGTCTCAGGTGCACACCTTTTCACATGACCAAACAATCTCAACCTAACCTCTCATAGCTTATCCTACGCCGGTGCCACTCCCAACTGCCTCTGAATAAGCTCATTCCGGATCCTATCCAATCTTGTCTGCCCACACATCCACTGTAGCATTCGCATCTATGCTGCATGCAGTTGGCGGATGTGGATTTTCTTAACCGGCCAACCGGAGTAATGATAGTAATAATTTATAATGATACTAATAATATTAACAACAACAACAACAACCACCACAACAACACCACTGATAGAACTCAAGATTGGTGGGGAAAATAAATGAATGATAGTCTTTATCAAATTATGAAATCAGAATCTATATTCATAAAATAATAAAGATGAAGGGAAATCTTTATCAAAATATGAGCAAGAATCTTAAACTCATATAAGTAATAAAGCCAAGGAGAATCTCCAATAATAAATATTGAATTACTTTCTGGATAGTTTTAAAAATAATGAACCTCAATATTTATAGAAGCCAAATATGAAATACCTACCAATCCCTATAATTTAGGCCATAGTCACATAAATCGCGGTACGCTTCGGTACGGGTACGCGGTACGGGTACGAAATTCGCTAGATGTAACGAATTCGGTACGAAGGGGGGTAGGTTCATTTCGGTACGAAGCGGTACGGTGTACCATGTATTCGGTTCGGTGTACCAAAAGTCAAAACATAAGTAAACAAAAATAGATAAGATGAGCATAAGTGCATAACATTACAAAATCCAATTGAAAAAGTGAAAAACAAGACATCATCTAAAATATTCTAATCTAGACGCTGCCTTTTTCCTCTCCCATTGTCAAAGCCTTCATCATCAAGGTCTTCCCAAACCATTTCTTCAAGGCGAGCACTTGAACCTTCTATGTATGTATTTTCAGGATTCACGTCCCAGTTTTTGTGAGGGCCTGATTTGTAGGACTCTGAAAAGCGCGACTGAAGTCGAATATTCGAGTGAATAAACACAAGTTTATCGGCTCTCTTGCTATTCAAGCGATTCCTCTTGACATTATGGATATAGGAGTATGTACTCCAGTTTCTCTC